ATTTTAGATAATTAAAACTCTTAACAGAACAAAGAAAAAGATCAAAAACTGTATCTACTATTTAGCACATACAACTGACTTACTGTTAATCACTGAATTGCAGAATTGTGTCTCCCATATTTATGTTGAAGTCTTCGCCCGGACATCAGAATGTAACCTTCTCTGGGAAAAAGGTCCTTGGCAAAGTAACTAATTAGGATAAAGCCCTTTTGGAACAGCCAGGCCCAGACTCAACACGCCCAGGCTCTGATGGGACAATGAGCAGACCTGTGCAAGGAAGGAACGTCGTAGCAATGACAGAGGACGACAGGAATGCTGCAGCTGCCTGGGGTCAGCAAAATGGTACAAACTGGCAAAACGTAGGGAAGGGAGGAAGGGAGGGAGGAAGGGAGGGAGGAAGGGAGGAAGAGTGGGATCCCCACACACACACAGACTCTACCAGTCTCAGAAGCAGGACAGCCCTGAGGCAATGAACTTGTTTATCGTGAGGCAATGCACTTCTGCTGTTTTAGGCTACCGAGTTGGTGGTCATTTGTTACAACATACCTAGGAAGCTAAAACAATGAGACGCAATTCTTGCAAAGAACTCATATAAGATTTTCTCATTTACACATAATTATTTACTCAAAACTACAGAAAATCTTAAGAATGCTTTCAGAAAGTCTTTCTCCCCATGGACAGTTGTTTTACAATATGCTTAAACCAAGTAAAACTGCTTCTGAAAGCTTCTAACCCTAAAACCACAACACTTTCGTTAATGCTCATTCCTCAATTCTAGAAAGGTGGAATATGAACACAGTTCTGTTTTACTCTAAAGCCCATCAGGCTAGTTACATACTTCCACTAGATTAAAAGAAGTAATGAAGTTTGATTCAAAGTCATCTTTAAAATTGTGACCAAAACATTATTTAAAAGGTACTAAACTTTAGTACAAAGGAATTTCTGAAATTCTGTGACATTTCTAACCCAGTATGAATATGTCAAACTTAAACAAGTATTTTAAAATACCAGATCTGGTGAAATGGATAGTCTGTATTATGCTAATTGATTAAAATTTCCCAGTATCAATTATTTATACTTCTTCATATATTTTTCCAATCTTTCTATTTCCCAGCAGAATACAACCAGTGATAATTCAAAGTCTTTGGCTTTCTCATTTAGGAGTAGTGAAGGAGGAAAAGCTTGCATCCATAAAGTCAGTATATTTTTTAAACTGTGGGTGAGTCCTGGCAAGGCCTCCAACATAGCGAAACCCAAGAGGATAGTTATAAGAACTGCTAAAGTTATTGTCATCTGGATTGAGTTTTAACACTAAAGTCTAACGCTAGAGCTTCCGCTAGAAAACCCTAACAGGAACCTTGGCCCTTCAGACACAAAGCTCCCTCAATATTCTGTCCTGCTAGGGTAGGGCACTGCTAAGAATACCACAACAGAAAGCTCCAGATGTGTGCACTTCCTTATAGAAGGGAAGAGCTCACACATTAGTAAAAATGACAAGAGACCAAAGAATAAATGCTTTGGACAATAAGTGGTTTATTCTTTTTAAAGTAAAAAGTTCTCTTAAAAATATAAACAAAATTAAGAATAAAAATTTAAATTATCATAAAACAAAGATTTATAGACCAAAACATAAACTATACTATTTAATGTGTTGTTTTGTATGATTTTTATAATTTAAAGGTATGGTAATAGATGTAATATCATAAAATATCAATGATATGAAACTGCCTCACAAAAATGTAAAATATAATTATTTAATAAAAATATATAGAAATAGAAAACTGCTGGTATAATTTGATAATTGTGTACTTTTCTCAGAAGTTTTAGGCCCACTGATTTCTCTATAGTTATGGACACATCCCGTGTGGTCCACTATAAAGAAAACTTCTGAAATGTTCCATTTCTCCTAGGCACATTTTATATTATATTTGGTAACTTAGCTACAATACAATAATGGATCTTAGGTAAAAAAGGATCATAGCTATTATATAAAAGATAAATTATGAAGTTCTTTACAGATTAACTGGAGATATGACAGAATATTTTAAAAAGGAGCTGGACATGATGGTGTACCCCTGTAATCCCAGCACTCTGGGAGGTTGAAGCAGGAAGATCATAAGTTCTAACCCAGCTTGGACAACTTAGCAAGACGCTGAAAAAATTTTTTAGAAGAAGTGGGGTAGGTAGCCCATATGAAGGCTCTGGGTTCAATCTCCAATACTAAATAAATAAATAAATAAATAAGAATGAAGGCCAGGGATTTAGCTCAGGGGTGCCATGCCTACCTGGCAAGCAGAAGGTGCTGAGTTCAATCCCCAGTTCCATCAAAAAAAAAGAATGGAGATGTAGCTCAGATATACACATATTTTTTATATTAGCTACAACTCATTCAAACCAACTGTTTACCTAAATTATACATATTAATATAAGCAATGTGCTAATTATAGAAATCATCTCATTAAATCCTCATAACCTTTCAAGAAGGCTCTAGTGTTACTGCCATTTTCTAGATAGTAAACAGGGGCACAACAGAAAGTTACTTCACATTCTGGAGCAGGTAAATATCAGAGCTACATACAAATCCAAGTCTCCACTACATTACACCAACTCTGTAAATTGGTTAACTAATTATGATACAAACATTTTTATCTTGGTACATATCATCATATATTTTAGGAATGTATATAATCTCTTCATAAGTAAACATGTTCACTATACCAAGAAATATTTAATAAATAAATATATGTTCAAGTAAGATCCAAAACATTTTATAAATTTTTGACATTTACTAAGAAAGGGTGGAAAGACTGGAAATGTTCTGAACTTTTCCCTGTTACGTAAAATTTAACCTAATAGTTTAGGTGGACAAGTTCTCCTTTACAAGACTCACAGCTAATAAATAAAGAACAGGGGTGAAATGAGAAAATTAGGAAAGTCATCATTTTGCAACCCCTAATAAAATAACACGTCCAGGTAATGCAAACATTAAGTGATAAATCATTAGTGATATTAGAGTCCCTCACATACCTAGCATCACCTCTAAAATATCTTGACTTTTTTTAAAAAAGGGTAAATCTAATCAAGTCACTACCTGTATCAGCATACAGAAAATTTCCCATGTATGTAAAATGATCCCCCCCAAAATAAAATAAAATAAAATGACCCCAGCATAGTGTTATCCTAATCTAGAACATGGAACATTCTAAAGAAATATTATGTAGGTCCTACAACAACACAGAACAAAAAGTAGCTAGCTTTTTATTGATTCTAAAAGGTTATGAGATACCAATCAAATGGAATTTATGGATCTTATTTGGACTCTAACTTGAACAAGCCAAGTGTTTTTTTAAAAAAGGGGCATTTTGTAGATCATCAAAAATATAAAATGATAATAAATTACTATTGCTGGGCACAGAAATGACAGTGTGGTAACAAAAATAAAAAAAAAAAAAAAAAAAAAAAAAAAAAAAAGAAGAAAGCTTGTTGTACCTGACAGTGATCATATTAAAGAATCTGCAGATCAAACAGAATGATAGACATGTGGTTTAAATTCTCTAGGAAGAAACTAAGGGCAGGGAAGAAAAAGATAAAATAAAAATATCAGAATGATTATTGTTGAAATTGCATAACAGGTACTTTAGTGTAGACTTGAAAACTTTGTAAGCATGAAGAATAACATATGTTTATTGTTTAGATTCTGCTTGTAATAAACCAACTGTAAGAGGGCAATTTTGGGACAACTGGAGAATACACGGTATTTGTATTAAGGAATTAAAAACTCCTGGATGTCACTGCAGTATTCTGGTTATTAAATACTTATTTAGTAGAGTTATGCATTGATATGTTTAAGAAATGGTAACATTCACAGAAAATCACCCCATAGAAAGTGTCTAGGATTTGACAATGTGAAATAGGAAGAAAAGGGCTAAAGGTGTAGGGAAGTGGGAAGGGTAGGGGAAAGGCAATAAGGGAAAGAAAAAAAAATAGGAGAAAATGAAAAAATGGAAATAAAATGTTTGTAAATGGGGAGGGGAGGAGGGGGTGAAGGGAGGGCAGGGACAAGGGGAAAAAATGAGAACCAAGACCTGTCATGTAAAGGTACAAGATCCCAATAATGAATGTAACTGTACTGTATACCTAAAATGTACCAATAAACTCAATGGAAAAAAAAAAACACTCCAGGAAAAACAAAGTATAGAGAAGAAAGAAAACAAAAAGGTAGAATGTTGATAATTTTTGAATATACTAAGTTAATTTATACCATTAACTAGTTTAATATAGTATAAAATATGATACATGTTTGAAAAATTCCACAATAAAAAAAAAATTAAAGACTTACCTCTAAGCTTAGAAGACTAAGTAAAACTAAATAACTACACACTACTTTCATTTAGTTTAAAAAGCCCACTATGAGTGAAGACACATACAGATATATAGAGAGGTACCTCGGTTCACAAACTTAATTCTTCAGTTTTCGTCTAATTTGGATTGCAATCACAATCAAAGAAAGAATTAAATTTGTGAACTAAGATACTACTGTATATAAAATATACCTTCATTAAATATCTATAACTATATCTCAAGACAAAAGAATGACATGATTTTGACAAAGCAGAAATGTATAAACTTAAAGATGTTCACATAATAGAATAAAGGAAGTAGTTTTTAAGAGACTGCAAAATTGGGTAGGGAATATAGTAGGCACTCAATAAATGTTTCTGCTTGAGTGATAGTCTCTAAATTATCTTATTTCCTCTTACAGCATCTAGAAATGTTTAGTTTAAATTTCTAAAAATACTACATTCAGTGAAATTAAACTTCTCTAACTTTGATGTATTTTTGAAAATTAAATTTTTACAAAAGAAAATCTTTACCATAATAAAATCAATAAGAAGTAAAAGACCCTAGATACAATTTAACTTGACCATTGTAAAAATCCAGATAATGAGACCCAGAATAATAAAGTATATACCTCTATTTACATTCAAACATTTACTCACTTCATAAGACCTGAATTCTTCTTACTAAATGGTCCAACGATTTTAAACATCAGTTCCACAACTCCATTTTTCCCTAAGGTTACTGAATTCACAGCTGAAAGGGGAAGAAAAAGATACAAAATTACTTAAAAATTTTAATAAGTAAAAATGTGTATACTTAGGGATACCCTTATAAAAGTACTTATTAAATGTGAACTCAAGTCACTTGAATCCACCTTAATCACTTCAAGGAAAGTTGGTAGGGAGCTTTGTTTTTACAGGAAGACATAAGTAAATTCTGAAACCACTTATATATCCCCCAAAAATGTTACTACAAAAAAGATACTTCAGTTGCTCTGTTTTGTTTCTTCAGTAAATTTAGTGACAAGGGGATTGAGAAGAAAAAATAAATAAAAAAAATAAAAAAAAAAACAGTCTCTGCCCTGAGAAAATTGTGTAGAGCATGAAACAGCAATGAGTAACTACCAAACTACTTTGTAAACAGATTTTAAGTTGTGGGTTATTTGGGGTACACCACTAAGGAGTCCCTATTCAGAGTAGGACAGAAGCTTTTCTGAAAATAATGCTTGACACAGTCTTTAAATATAAGTAGGAGTTAGCCATGAAAAGAGCTGACGTTAATGGGTAGAGACAGTTCTGGAATGTCTCTGAAGACAGAGGCATCAGCACAAAAAACCTGAGACGAAAAATACTGTGAGTATGTGCAGATACACACTGTTAAACACACAGTATCAAACAAAACACACAAAGGGTAAGATGAGGTGGAAAAAGAAGGTAAGGAACAAATTAGGAGCTCAGCATGGTGGCACACATCTATAATCCCAGTACTCTGGGAAGCTGAGGCAGGATTACAAATTTGAGTCCTGCCTGAGAAAGGTAGTGAGATCCTTCTCAAAAAGCAAAAACCAAAAAAATAGAAAGGGCTCAGTGCAAGGGCCCAAGGAGGTTCAACAGGAAGGAAGAAGGAAGGGAGGACCAAAAGGAGAAAGGGAAAGAAAGGGAAGAAATTATGGAAAATCCTAGAAGTTATTTCCTTCAGGTACAGGGAAGTGCACAAAAGAAACAATGTACGAGATTTGCATTTTCAGGGCTGCCCTGCTTTGCAAGTGTAAGGTCCCAAGTTCATTCCCTGGTATCCAAAAAAAAAAGATTTTCATTTTCAATAAACAGGTCAGAACCTACAGCACTCTTAAGAAAACAGACCTGAGACACTGTAAAAGGAAGAGAGGGTTTGAGTGAGATGGAAATTCCATAAGGACCTTAACTGAAGCAACTGAAGTAAGGAAAAGGAGGGAGTAATTTTGGCATTTCATACAATATGCAAACCATTATCTAACAGAACAGCTGTGCCTACCATTTTCTTTTTCTTTCTTTTTTTTATTTATTTTTTGGGGGGGGTACTGGGTATTCAACTCAGGACCTTGCACATGAGAGGCAGATGTGTGCGCCACTGAACCAAATCCCTGTGCCTACCATTTTCCATTCTGAATATTATTTTTTAAAATTACAGATAAAGCATTTGGCTAGCTTTCTAGTGGTTAAATCAATAGATGACCACATGATGTTTATAATTATATAAATATTCACTAAGTGTTCACTGAGCACATGTTTAGCCACACTGTCACAGGTACACATGCACACGCTGACATCTATACATCTGGTACTTTAACACTATTTTGCAATGGTAGTGTTCTGTAACAGCATATTCTACAATTCCCATTTTAGGTTCTTTCATTAGCCATTCCAATTTCACAGGCAGAAAATGAAAGGAAAATGCAAACCTCCTGGGTTTGGGACCTTTTGTGGCTAAGTAAGCATTCCCATTTTAGGAGACATTTTATCCAAGACCATCTCTCTGCGAACCCTCTCCTCCTGAGCTTCCTGGGAAGCTCATCTGCAATTTCTATTCTGACTTCCTACTTCCCTATTGATTGCTGCACAGTAATTAGCGCCAGCTGACTGTGCTTGTATGCCTTTGTTCTTAGCTTTCTTCTCATTCATGAAAATCCAAAGAGGTTTATAATTTCTCCAACTTCTCATGTTCTTATCCCACGTTGCTTTTGTAGCTGGATGTAATAGTTATAACAAGCTATATATATTATATCGTCTTTCCATTTCCACAAATTTGAGAGATTTACAGAAGTAGTTTAAAATTTTCATTTTGTATAACTTCATGGTACTAAGTAATTAAAATCCACTCCAAAACACTCACAGTTGGCAGAATACACTCGTAAAAGCTGAAGACAAGGTAGAACCAAGCGATGATTCTGCAAATTCTGTTTTACCAAATTCAGGGTTATGTTCAGAGCCCCATTAATTCTAGCTTTCACTCCAAATTTTTTATCTGTTTAAAAAAAGAAAACTTAATTTACTAAGTGTAACTTTTGAAAGTCATATAGCAATGACATTGTAAGTTTATATTATGAATTGATATAAATTATGAAGTTAACCTGAAAAAATTAAAACTGTAAATTTGGATGATTTTTAAAATACTCCATATACTTTTGAAGCATGATTTGGAAAATGTACCAAAGCGCAGAAAAGGGAAAAGGGCAAAAGTATAAGACTGGAATAGCCCAACGTGAGACGTCATGAGAAGAATTTCACTGATCCAAGACACATGCAGGCACGCAAACACAACAGGACATAATGGGATTCTGAAATACGTCTTCTTTTTTCTCTCATTCTTAACAGAATTTGCAAATTTTATATTCTTACAAGTTACTAGATAACTAAAATATGCATTCCACTCCTAAAAACAAGAAAAAGCACCATTTTACATTTTAAAACTTGAGCAGTTTCAAGGCAGAAACAATGTTACAAACATCACACAGGTGAAACCCTGACCTTTTGGTCCAATCTTAGCAAGAACAGAATGAACTTGCACCATCAACTCTTCATGTGGGGGAGATTCTTTGCAGGCATTCACAAGTAATTGTAACAAAATCTGTGAACCACCTTTGGCAACTAAGAAACTTGCTCTTCGGCCTCCACCTAAAATTTAAAAATCAAAACAAAATCTTTGAACAGTAAATCTTTCCCAGTAGGTATCACAACTTGGTAGGATTCAAAAAATACTTAAAATGATGATTTCTAAACTCAAACAAATTTGCTGAAATCATATTATAGTTTACTTCATTTACTGATAAAAATAGCACACAAAGAATAAACAGTGATGCAAAAATTCTAGGGTTCATTCTCTGAAACTTCAGAGTGGCAAAGATAATGTGAAGGACGCTTGAATGTACCAAAACCAACCAACAAAGAGTACAGCATGTCAGTTTCCAGATCCCAATATCAGAATACCCTCTAAGTATTAAAAAGTAATAATAAAGTATACATAATACATTGCTGATGACTATTCATCTAGAAATAAAATCAAAGAGAATAAAAACTTACCAGCTGATACCAGCTCAACAAGAATGCTTAAAATATTTAGTGTAGTTTGAAGATCTTTCACGTTCTGAAATAAATAGTTAATTTGCTTTACTAAAACATTGAAAATTTGTGATTCACAAACTTTTGTAACTATTGGGAGCCACCTATATTTTTCCAAAGACCTTTCCAACTTCTCTAGGATTCAGATTGCCACTATTCTCAATAGTTGAGTCTCTTGCCTGTAAGAATTTTTACAAATCATTTGAGCTTTTTTCTTAATATCAACATTCTTACAAGAGGAATTTGTCATTTCAATTCATCTTTCTAACATATACATAAAAAGTAAATGAATTAAAACATAAACGATACTACAAAGTATACACAGAGAGACTACTTAAGTCACCTAGCTATCACAGAAGGCAATTATTCTCCTGAGTCCTGTCCAAAATAAGAAGAACACTTAAAAGAAATCCATGCAAACATATATAATATATATATGTATATATTATATATGTATATAATATTTATATATGTATATAATATATACATATATAATATATATATGTATATATTATATACATACAGATTTATTTCTCCAGATAGTACCGCCCTATGGATACTACTTTGTACCTTAGAATTCACATATAAATAAAGAGCTTCATTTTTTTAAGTGCTACAGGATAAAGTCTATTATAGCGTTATATCATTAAGTATGTGTATTATCCCACTCAATTTGTCCTACTCCACTTATTAAAAAATACCTCAGGCCTCTGTGTGAAATGCCACCTTTTCTAAACAGTATTAAATTCTCACAAGCATTTTATTTGGGTATTTCCTATTTTGTTACACTAATATCTGTCTACATGTATAATTGCTAAACTATTTTAATTATGAAAGTTTTATAATGTTCTTTGATATGCAATAGAGATAGTCCTTTCTCATTTATTTTTCAGGAATATTCTTTCTATTTCTGCATATTTTCTCCTCTACTGATTTCAGAAGCAAGACTGCTGGTATTTCATTGAGATTACCCTAAACTGGCAGATCAATTTAGGGAGAAATGTCATGGTTATGCAGTAAAAGACTTTCTATGAAAGAATATGAATTCATTCCTTGTTTTTTTAAAGGAAAAAATTTTAAACTGCTTTATTCTACTTTTTCTTTTTTCATTGAGTTTATTGGTGCATTTTAGGTATACAACACAGTTACATTTATCATTGGGAATCTGCACCTTTATATGTGTATCTTGGTTATTTTTTCCCCATTCCCCTGCCCTCCCTTCAACCCCTGTACCCCTCCCTATTGACAAAGTCTCTTTTCCTTTTTTTCCTTTTCCCATATCTTTCCTTTCCCCTATCCCTCCCGCTTCCCCTTCCCCTTTGCACCTTTTCTTCCTATTTCACATTATCAATTATACATTTTGATCCATATTTAATACTGCAATGAATAAAATACAGAATTCTGATTCTGAATACATCCTCCTTAGTCTACTCAAAACTTTTACACTTGCACAGAAATTTAATTATCATTAATATAAGAGGTGTAATAAAAACATGGTGAATATTAAAAAAAAATTTTTTGTACTGGGGATCAAACTGATTCTTGTGCTGGCAAGGCAGATGTGGTGCCAATGAGCTAAATCCCTGGCCCAAATATTTAAATTTTAACAAATTTACTACACTAAAATATACTTGTTATTAATCCTCCTCAAAATATTTCCCTTCACTTCAAATGCACAAGTTGTGAAAGATAAATAGATAGATATAAATAATATGGCATTGTACAACTTCTGGCTCTTCCTCAAAGTCAAAATTACCATGAAAGCTAAACATTCTCAATCAATTCAGAACATCAAATCATCCAAAATGGGTACGGGATTTAGCTCAGCAGTACTGCACCTGCCTTGCAAGTACAAGGTCCTGAGTTCAATCCCTCGTACAAAAAAAAAAAAGCATCTGAAATAGCACAAGAAAAGACAGTTACAAAAAAGACTTCTACAACTGCTTCAGAAACTGGCAAGAACAATGGGATAAGTGTGTTCCAAGCAAGGGGGAGTATTTTAGGGAATTAATAGCGATTTGTCTTTTACCATAATAATTTTACTTTAATATACACTGTACTTTTTATCATATATTTAATGTTCAAATAATACATACTAGAATACTTACATCACCATTCCAAATCATAATTAAAACATGAAACGTTTTTATTCACGAGCTTTACATTTAAGAAAAAAATTGACATTTCATGTGTGTACACACACGTTGGTTTTCCCTTCAGTACTGCTTCCTACTAGTAGTTACACAATTAAATGAAAATATCGTGTTTACCTCTAATGTTGACAGCAGAACATCCACTGCCGCAGAACCTTTAGCAGTCATTTCTCTCCTTGTTTTTTCTAAAAAGTACAATTTTTTTTAGCATGAATGAAAAAAGTATGTTTTATTCCATACAGCTAATATAAAATCAACCGTCCCACTGTGTCAGCAAACATCTGTATTATCTCCTAGACACTCTTCCCTCTAAGGCTATCCCGTTCCGTAGAGACTTCTAGAGTCCAGTGAACAAGCCCTTCCTTGCATTTCTTCTCAGCTCCAGGACAGAATCTGTCCATTTAAACTAATAACATAGTGCAGGTAATAACACTTTGCAGACCACAGCAGGAGCAAAGTAGAAATTACAATGGTAAGTTTATCTTGATGAAAATAGTTTATCAAATTAAGTGAAAGTGGACACCCAGTATCATTTTCAAATGTTTTGATTATATTAATACCACTTCAAAATTCTGAATCACAGAACACATTTTTAAAAATAACTGAGGAACAGCCAGGGATTTGGCTCAGTGGTTCTACCACCTGCCTCACAAGCACAAGGGCCCGAGTTCGATACCTGGTATCAAAAAATAATAGTAATAATAACTGAGGAAGAGCAACTTCTATAAGAATCTAGAGAGAAAATCACCAAAATAATACTTTCACTAGTATGGAAAAAATGTATAATATTCCTATTACTTAAAAGCTCTAGATTTTCCTCACAAGTGTCCCTTAATTAATAAGAGAAAAGTAGACCACAGACCAGTATTTAAGAAAGGTACTAATATTTACCATTCCATGTACTTTCCCTACATTATTTCGTCATGCCTCACTGTAACCCTGGAATGATTTCAATTCATTCACATTCACTTAAGCATGCTTTTTTGGATAATACTATATGGTCCACTTTGAAAAAAGTTCTATGTGCTGCTGAGAAGAAAGTGTATTTTGTTGTTACTGGGTGGAATGTCACACAGATAACTATTAAGTCCATTTGTTCAGAAGTTAGGTTCAAGGCCAGGGATTTAGCTCAGTGGTACCTCTGCCTGCCTCACAAGTGCATGGTCCCAAGTTCTATCCTCAGTACCAAAAAAAAAAAAAAAAGTTAGATTCAACTTTGGTATTTCTTTTTTATTTGTCTGGTTGATCTGTTTGTGACAGTGAGGTACTGAGGTCCCCTATTATAACTGTGTTCATGTTTACTTGGTATTTTATGTCCAGGAGTACTTATTTTATGAAGTAGGATGTTGTTGGTGCACATATGGCAATACAGTGATGCCTCAGTTCACAAACTTAATTCCTTCCACAATTCTTCATCACCTGATGCAGAGGTTGCAAACAAAAGCATCCCTGAAACAAAGTACCACTGTAATCGCTACCTCTTCCTGTTGGATTGTTCCCTTAGCCCATAAGCAGTCTTCTACAGTTTTGATCAGTTTTGGCTTGAATAGAACATGGCTAGACCTGCTTGTTTTGGGGTTCCTGTTGCATGAAATATCATTTTCCATCCTTTCATTTTCAGTCTCTGAGTTTCTTTTGATGTTAAATGTGTTTCTTGAATACAGCATACTGTTGAATTTTTTTTATCTGAATTAATTCTGCCGGCTGTGTCTCTTGATTGGGGCACTTGCTACCGACCATAGGGCAGCAAACATGGGATTTCACGAGGAGATACAGGTTCTCTGAAAGGTGGGAGCAGGTTCAGCGATGACAGTCAGACAAAAGCACTCAACACCGAGGTGAAGTTTGCAAATGCTGCTGCAATTTTATTTCTAACTCTAGGTGTTTATATACTAGTTTCAAGGGCACACCTCAAGAGTGATTTCAGGCACAGGCAGGCATGAGAAAGATAGACAATAGTACTGTAAAAACTAAGACCACAAGGTCAAGTTAAGACCACACCTATATACCATCACAAAAGCTAAGACCATTAAGTCAAGGTAAGACCACACCTATACGCAGTCAGAAGGGGAACTTTGTAAAACAAAGGACTGGCTTCAGCATGTCACCTTCAGGATCACCTTCAGGACTTCACAGTCCGGGGCTCAGGGTCAGCACTTTGGCCGCCCGTCCTCTTGTGCCTCAATACCTCCCCATCTCTAGGAACATCTAATTGTTCCTAACCTTTCCTGGGCCCAGAATACAATTCTACAGATAATGAACAAATAGTAATAAAGACAAAATAGAACAGAATTATAAATGAACCCAATGTCCCCAAACTGCAGGCAGAGAGGCCAGCTATTCTCTTCACGGCTGACTTCGCATGCGGTGTGTGCCAAGGACTTCCAGGAGGCTTAACCCCGTGGGGACGATACCTCTGGTCTGGTTTCTGCCAGGTGACCGGCATTGTCACACAGACTCCACTGGAGTGGTCGTGGCAGGCACTGAGAATGATTACTGAAAGGTTCCTGTCACTGCTTTATTTTCTTATTGCTCATTTCCTTTTTTCTCCTTCTACTTAACTACCTGATATATTCATCCTATTAGACTTTTAGGTACAGTTAGTTTCACTGTCTCTTTCTAGCACATCTCGGAGAATTTTGAGGAGTGCTGGATGGGAAGTGGTCATGAATTTCTGTAGGTGTTCTTTATCATGTAAATACCTTCATTTAGTTCTGACACTGTTCTCACACGGGCTGCTTCTGCTGCCTATACTTTCAGTAGTGTTATTTATTGGGTGGGAGGTGGGCATGGCTTCACTATGCAGTTTAGATTGGCCTTGAACTTGCTGCCATCCTCCTGCCTCCTGAGGGCTGGGATTACAGGCATGTGTCACCATACCTGGTCCTCAACAGATTTTTAATCTCCTTAATTCCTGCTGGTACCTTTTGAAAGACTCTAATTCTTTGACAAACTGCTCATTCATGCTTTGGCTCATTTTATTTGGCTCAGCTAGCTTCTTATTAGTGTCATCTTTAAACTCACTGATCATTTTGTTTAAATTCATTCTCCAGTTTTATCTTCTGTGAGCTCGCTGAGTACCTTATTTATCTGGGTTTTTTTTTTATTTCCTATTATTTTTTTCAAATAATTCAACAGTGTGGATTTTTTATTTACTTTCCCTTTCCATCAATGCCCCATGTATTACCTTTGGGGGAGTGGAGAGTTTTGAGAAGCATTTTGTTGTCTTGTCTGCCCATGTTTCTATTGGTGTTTTGTTTTGTGCTGAGGTTTGAGAGTTGCTTGTAGTGGAAAATTTTGTTGCTAGTAAGGAGAACTCTTTAGTATGTTTCTGCTTTTCAGTGATACACTTTGGGCGTGACCTTTGCTTCTGCTCCAATATCCGTTCACTTCCACTTATTTGGAAAGGGATACCACAATATATTTGGCTCAGCACCCCGTTCACAGAAATGGGCCACAGGACTGTTAGTGACACAAAGGCCATCCAGATATTGGCATATAAAGAAAATTAATCAATAGCAACAAAATCAGTAATAGTAACAAAGTCAAACAAAACCTAGATATTGACATACCCTAAGAAGCAGTAATGTACTACTACCCTTAATCATGGAAAACAGATCTATAATTACAGTATAAATACTAAAACACATTGGTGAGTGTGTGCAGATCCCTAGGAGATGCAATGTCGTTCAGACCAGCGCAGCTGCAGGCAAATCCCAGCAAGGGATCTGCCCCAACCCCAGAGGCTGGGGCAAGCCTGCCCAGCCAAGGCCCACTCAGGAAAGAGCTGCAGAGGTGCAAAAGCTTCAGTCAGAAACCCTCTCCATAGCATAGGTGGTTTGAACCTAGGAACTGGGATACTGGTGAGCAGCAGAACAAAGGCCTCTTGGTGGCTTGGTGAGAACTGAAGACCACCGGGTGAGCCCAAAGTTGTCTCAGTAAGTCTGCATCTGTTGAAATGAGAAGACACAGAAACATGTCCCAAAATCAGTTTTCCCTTTGGTGATCTGGATGAGGGAAAAGACATGGAACAATCTGATACTCATCCTCCTGGCCACCCTGAACTGGCGACAAAAGAGAATCTGGAAAAAATGAAGTGATAAATAATTTCTCAGATAATAGCAGAGATTGTACCCTTAGTGCAAGGTATGATTAATAAATCTAGAGTGGACACAGATTTTTAAAAAAAGTGGAGCTGAGGAACATGATGGAATCCCAAAACAGGGAACAAACAGAATCCAGAAAACAGATATAAACATATTTCCAAGAGATTAAAAACTCCACTGAAAGTTTACACAGCAGAATGAGCCAATATGAAGATAGAATTTCAGATATGGAAGATTGGATTTCAATTAGTGAACAGGAAAAGAAAATTTTCTTAAAAACAGTAAGGAACCACGAAAAATCAATCCAACAGTTCCTAGATGATAGAAAGAAAAATAATATGAGACCTATTGGAGTCAATGAAGAAAGTTGAGAGAGTACAGATGACATAAAAAAACTGTTCACAGAAGTAATGGCAGAAAATTTCCCAAGTAGGGGAAAACAATTTGACAGGCAGACAAGTGAGGCACATAGGACTCCAATTAGGCAAGATCAAAAAAAAAAAAAAAACAAAAAACCTAGGCGTATAATAGTTAAGATTCCAGAAAACCAACAGAAGAACAAAATTTTATAAGCAGTCAAGAGAAAAGAAACAAATCACATACAAAGGAAAGCTATCAGAACCACAGTAACCCTCAAGGGAAGAAGAACCTGGAATGATGTATTTCAAGCACTAAAGGAAAACAGCCTCCAACCTGGATTGATGTACCCTGCAAAACCATCTTTCAAAATTGATGGGAGAAATAAGAAACTTTCATGGATACCAACCAGTATTTTTTGGAATACTCCAAAAAAATTTTAAACAATACCTTAGGAATGACAATGAGGATAACAACCCTAGGGAGCTCAGCAGATGAATCCATTAGGCACAACAAGAAATGAAATGCAAAGGGGGAGAATCTAACAAAAAGAAAAAAATCATGACAAGGATAAGTCAACACATATCAGTTATAAACATCAATGTTAATGGTCTCAATTCATCAATCAAAAGAAATCGATTGGCAGAATGGGTCAAGAAGCAAGATCCAACAATATGCTGCAAAAAAGAAACACCTTCAATTCAAAGGAAACTTATAGACTG